GCACCCGCGGCTGGGAGCACCGGGGCGGGCGCTGAGTTAAACCTTCCCCCGGGTAACAGACCCCATCGCCTGGGCCAGGCTGCCCCTAGTGCCCGGCACAGCTCCGGCTTGGAGCTTTGGGGGCGGGAGGCGCTCCCGCGAAAGCTATGCTCTCAGGACCAGCACGCATCATGGAAGCGGGAAGGCCTGGCTTGACCAAGCAGCTTGGATGTGGCACCATTCAAAATTAAATGATAATGAAAGCACCATCAGAGAGGAAGCACTAATATGAAGATGCTGCATGTAATGAAAATAAACATTTTCCATTATTATACTGGAATATATAAAATATGTATATTTTACAGGGGTTAGGCAGTGGGCTCTAAGAAGACCTCAGTGGTGAACATACTTCTCTTCTTAAACTGACAAACTTAAAATAACCAAGGCATCATCTCACCTAGTAGAAGAAACACACAACATAAAAATAATCTAACTTTGTTATTCCCTTTATTTCTCCATTTGCTCAGCAGAATCTCAGGAGTGTCTGGCTGCATACCACTTCCAAACTACGTGCTGTACAAGTGCTCACAGTATGCCCTCCTGCATTTTATCAGCATTTAGAACTTCCCACTCTAATGACTATCAGAACCAGTACAGATCAGACTTAAAGTTTTGATCAAGTTCAGAATTTGTTGTAACCTAGGGATTCAGTTTGTTTAGTGAATCTGTGAAGAGACTTGGCCTGTCTTTCCTATCTGAGCTCAGTGAGGACAGGACACTCAGTAGCTGCTAATGGTCACAAATGAAGGAGCAAGGTCAGTGACACCAGGCATCAGATACGAAACTGAAGTGCATGAAAGAAGCAAACATTAAATTCTCTGCTGAAGGCACAGATGGAACTAGACCTGTATAGGCTACACTAACTGCTGTGCTGAAAATCTTAGAAGTCTGCTTCAAACACCAGGATGCCTTGTGACAAGAAGGGTGTGATGCTGACACCTGAAAATGATTTGTAAGATCTGGTCAGAGTGATGTAAGTGAGGAAAGGTATGTCAAATCTGCCTGAATAGAGATTTTTCAAGGTTTATGCAGACTTGTTTGAATGTATTCTGTGACATTCACATGGAACAAAAAAAAGGCCTTTTACTTGCATCAGTAAATCTAGCGTTAGCTTTGCAACTGAAACTGGTTTGAAATGTAAACAGGGCCAACCACTTTCCTGTTTAGTGAACATACTCCTGTTTTGATTCATAGATAATTAGAAACATTGCCATTAATGTAAATTAATGGGCGTGAAAGCTTATTGATTTGTTGGGTTTGGTTTTGTTTGCCTTTTTTTTTTTTTTTGGTTGGTTTTGGTTGGGTTCCTTTGAGGCTAAAAGGGAAAAGCAGTTACTTTTGTTATTACTTGCATTCAACAGCATTTCACAATTAGCTCCAAATTGTTGCTTAAACATGTCTAAGGCATATTACCCACTGAAAGCAGGCAAGCTTTCTGCTAGTATTTGAAGAAAGGATGCATCTGCAGAACTGAACAGGCATATAATATTGAGATGGAAGATCTAATGCATTGCAGTAGGTTAATTTCTTTAAGGAATGCTTTGGTATATGCATTTTAGGTGTATTATCTGTGAACAGACAGAATAGAAGTTGCTGAAGTTGATTTCACGAGAGTCAACTTCTTTACATGCAAGTCATGTGATTAGGTATTTTCATATATACAGCTGGTGTTTTGTAATCAGGGTTACAGTTTGTTCTGTGGACCCTAAGCATTATGTGGTTTTAGGCTGCATTCAAGTTTTAAAGTCAAATTTTAGGTCAAGCATTTAATTGTAGTTCATAAACATACTTCAGCATGTCATGAACCACAAGGAGTTACTCCATCTTGATTTTGTCTCTAAGTGTCATTATGATTTCACCCTCATGATCACAGTACTGATTTAGTAAACAGTATAAAGCTCAGGAAAAGACAGGCCAAACAAACCCCCATGAATACTGAACTGGTATTAAAAAGCCCTAAGGAAAAGGCAAAAATTCCTCAAAACAGAAACAGACAAGCACAAAGACACTGTAAATATTTATGTTGCATATGTACAGTGTCCACACATCTCTGACGTTACTAATTTAGTTATTTTCCATGTATTTCATTCAAAGGACAATGATTCAGTCTTCCTGGCACAAATCAAGGGTTTGTTATGTAGCAGAAATGGTACTTCTAACATTTTAATGTACAAATTGCATTCTTCCACAAGAAAAACCCTAGAGTAAGAACACAGCAATTGTCAGAAACAGCATTTCTTCCTTGGCACAGCTAAAATAGGTCACTCAGCGCTGTTTCTCGTTACAGTTTTATACAGGACATTTATAGGACTTTAATGGATATGTCACTTTAAATATTATACAATTTATCAGTCATGAGATATCAGAAGATGACACAAGTGAGGGAATTGGAAATTTTTGCACAGTGGCATTTTTAAAAAATTTATAAGAAGTTTAAGGCTTACTTCTATAATGTAACTCGTGTTTCCCTGTCCACCATACAGAAAAAAGAAAACTTACAGGCATCACTTTTCCTTCTTCATCACAGACACACATTATCACTTCCACATTTCTCTGAGTTGTTTTATTGTATTTATCAAAATCTCCATACATCAATGTAATATAAATGTCATTTCTTATATCTCCTAAAAAAGAAATGGAAAGGTTAAAAATCAATGAAAATGCTGTGAGAGCATACGGTCAAGTGAACCTCACAAGAATACCTCTTTTTCTGCAGTGAAACAGATAAAAATATCTTATTTTCCATCTGAACTTAAATTTTCATCGCTGGTATTCTTAGCTAGCTAAGAAGATACCACAATGTGATGTGAAACGAACCAAAGGGGAGTCCTCAAGGGGACTTGAAGCAATTCTCATCCTGCACTGACACCTGCTGGTGAGGTGATGGATGACGCTTTTCCTGACCACCCCAAATACACCGCTCTCTCTAGAGGGAGCTTCACATTTAATTTTCTCCCGTGAAGAAATTAATGCCTCCCTTTAAAAGTATCGAGCTTTTAATTATCTTACCATAAATTACCAAAAAAAAAAATCCAGGAGATTATAAACTTTTATGTTTATTATTTTTAACATTTAAGTACTAGAAAATAGTTTCCAAGGGTCTCAGTATTTTATATAAGCCTCTAATATTGGAACAAACTTACCATGAAGAATGAGTTCTAAAGAGCCTCTGAGTTACCCATTATAGAATTAAATAAGGCTGCAGCTGATGCTCATTAACCTAGGGAATGAAAAAATCCATTCCTGTTACAGAACAAAGCACCTCCTACCTGGCATGATTATTTCAGGAAATCCTAGCTTTCTAGCAACAACTGTGGTTCTGTCTACAAGATGTGGATAGTCCTTCCTAGTTTGAATCACATCTCCAACAAGCATTTTCACAGTTACCCAGAGACCTATTAAGAGGAAAAGGAAAATTACACTCATGGCAAGATAAAAAAAAGAGCTTCTTTTCAGATGATTGCCTATTTACCCACCAAACCATTGATAAGAACTGACTTCCCCCACTTCCTTTAGCTGAGATTAAAAGTTCTGTAATCCAAAACTGTAGCTAATAATTTAAGTAGCCTCCAATATTCTGCAAACTCATGGTTCTTCACTTCCAGCTTGAAAATTGACCCATCTCCATGGCGGTGCTACGCCATGAAGTTCCACAAAAAGACCTCGTTACTTTACTAAAGAAAAAAAAATTAAAAGTCTATTTTACCTTGTCCACCACTGTCTCCTTTTGATGCAGTGACTTTGCTTAGGAGGCTGTGTAAAAAGTCATTATCTGCTGCTACCCTGCAGGAGAAAAAACCAATGTCTACTAGGGATTAAGTGCTACATACAGCAAACACCATTCAGAACGCAGATGACAGACAGCCTCAGTCCTCTTTCCTGCACTGGACTGCACTAGGATACGTTCTCTGATTTCATTATCTCTCACCCCGAGCTGAAGACCACTCACATTAAGCTTGTAAGTACACTGAAGTGAAAAAACCAATGACTTTAGCAACAGCATTTTGTGACAGACTGGCAATATGAAAGGTTATCGTCATGTAGGGATGCAGAAGGTGAATGCTTTCACCAGCATGCCAAACCAGGCCACCCCCCCGACAAACACCCTGATGACTGAACTTTGCATTTTTTTCAGCTACTTTTGAAATTGGAAAGAAATTTTCGTGTAACAACTATGTTGGATCAAATTGTGAACAAGTGAAATGATAAACCAGTGTGACATACTTGGGCCTTTCAGAATTAAATTTATTCTCCACAGAACATCGCAGCCGTGCTACGTAGAATGCACAGACGTGTTTCCAGTGCATACTGGCATCTCTGCATTTGATCTGTGACTATCACATTTTTAGGCATTTTTGCTATTTGTTTTGAAGATAACGTATGACGATTCAACTGCTTTTTAACAAAAACCTGATTTTTTACTCAGTTTTTTCCTCAAATTCAAAACAGAGTCAAGCACATAAACTACTGGTTGTCCATATTTGTACAGCTTACTGTTGCGTATGTAGAACTATTTAACGTGGGTTTTGTTCAACAGGGCATGGCAGCAGCTGTCTGAAGGAGCACACTCGTAGAAATATACATTCATTTAACATGCTGTGCAATCCCTATCAAGTCCTAAATGCCTTTAAAAGTGATACTTAAATAGTGAGCACTATTACAACATAAAATTATTAAAAGGAAAAGGTATTTTTGCTTGAAACATTTCAGATAGGTACAGCCAGAGATGTAGAAATATTTTTGTGCATATAAAGAAGATAGATATCAATGACTGTCTTACGGGTGAAAGGGAATGAAATGCTGCTTTTCTTCATCACTTTCAGCTTTTCCTTTTATGATATCTGTAATATCCATAACTAGAAGAGTAAAAGAGATAATCAAAACATAATAGCATTGCAAAATATTTCCTCTTATCTATGAATAATGTGCATTAATGTTCCTGTGCTTCAAGGCAAATGTAGATTTTTCACCAGCAAGCAGTGTAGCCCAATAGCGCTAGATTTGTGGAGCAGAACATTTCATGCAAAGTCCACACTCAAACATGATATTGTGTAAAGGGAGAATTACTTCAGACTAGTTTTAGTCTAATCCTGTGAATGGGTGTGAATGCATTGGTGGTGCTCTGGGGACATCATCGTTGGTTTTATTTCAACTGCAAGGAATTTTGTTATTACACTCTGGTACTGTGCTGCACAGTAAGTATGAATTATTAGAAATTAAATTTAAAAGTACTTTTCTGACCTGGACTAAAATGCCAACGTAGGTGCAGTCTTTATGGACTTTTAAAACTTAAATATGGAAGATAGTTGATGTAGCTATTTTGTATTCTGGCATATCTTGGTAGAGATTCTGTGGTCCAGGGTTGGCAAGTATCACTGGGGTCCTGCTTCAGATGCAGCAGAGGAGACATCAGTTACCTGCCACTCCAAAAGGCCGCCTTAGTCCTTGAGTGTATTTCTTTGAGTTACTGTCTTTGAGATCCATCCTTCCAACTCGCACTATTTGACAAACTAAATAGATTTTGTCTCTGCCAAGGTCTTTATTTCCAAGATCCTAAGATACAAGCAAAAAAACCCAATTGATATATTACTTGGGGAAGAACCAAGTTGTGAAATTTAAAGAGGACCTCCAGTAATGAATTAGGCCTCAGTAACCAATGGAAAACAAACACACACACACACAAAAACAGAGTCCACAGAAAGGGTGAAAAACCTGACACTTTGAAGAAAAGAAATGGTAAGATAAAGAGAGAAAATAGTAGCAATCAAGAGGTACAGCAGGCAAAACCAATATCAAGTCATCAGTAAATTTATGGGGCAGCAAATAATTTGAAGAAAGGGCACTGAATCACTGTCACTGCCTCAAAGCACTCGATGACTGGTCATCTTGCTTTGTTTCTGAGATTACTTCTGCTTCCTTCTTCATCTTTCTCAATCTTAGGGAGTTCTGACAGTGACCGCAGAGAGGAGACAATCTGATTTGTAAATATGAAGTAAGGTAAACTGGAAAACACTTACTGTGAACACTACTTTAAGATTGTTGAGCATATCAATTTCCTTTGGAAAGCCTTTACTCCCCCATCTCACCAGGTAGTTCTCACTGTTTTGAAGATAAAGATCTTATGTGATTTAAAAATTCTTCCCTTTCAGAGTACATTAAAAACCACAGTACATAGCAAGGGTTGCATAACAGACGATAGTCTGTGGCAATTGTTTAAATCTAATACCAGTCTAAAAAGGCAGAAAGAATATTATACAAAATGCCATCAGTAAGTTCTGAAAAATAACTTGAACGTAAGACAGAATGGCACCTTTTTTGGAGGAAACGTTATCATCAGTCTGTTTGATGGGAATACTCAACAGAATCTTAATCTATCTTTGAATTTATAAATTATTCCCGTTTTGTCCCCTTCCCCCTCTTTCAGCACTTTACTCCAGACACCACAACATTCCCCAACAAGAACTTTAGAAATCATACCTTATAATTGTTGATTTCTGTGGATCGTATAGTGACATGAAAAGTTCTGCATCCTCTCCAATTCGGCACACAAAATTCCGCACAAAGACGTACAGGCTGTGGGTGGGGGATGAAGACATTCGGGAGTACGATGCATAATCTGGTTGATCCTTTGACTACTCAGCAGAAGGAAAAACATTAGCGATTTCCATGACTTAAAATGGTGGGATACTACAAGCAGTTTTAATTTTTAACATATGTTACAGTTCATTTTGAAAAATCATAGGAATTTTGGATAAAAATACTTGTTTCCACCAAATAAGCGTTGCCCTGTATATTCCTCGGAAACGCATTGCTTAATAAAGCAGACATGACTAGCCAATGAGTTTCTCTTATTTGCAATGCTTCACCTAGGAGAAAACATCCTTTTCTACTAGGAAACTAGGAAGTTAGAAGGTTAGAAGTTGTGGAATTGATACAGGACAAGATGATTAAAAACCATATATATAATTTTTGAACACCGTAGGATATAGGAGGCAGCCTACATTGTAATGGGGTTTCAGTAGGCTAGGAAGGAGACAACATATGCTGAGATCAGGACACAGCTGAGCAGGTTCACCAACTCAAAAATAGGCTCCTAATTTCTACCTACATCCCATTTTAACCACCTGGAAACAGCTACTTAACATTTGGTGGCCTAACGCATTCTTTATCTGTTGTTTGGCTCTATTTTTAAAACAAGTCCACACAGTCTATTGCAGACTACCAAGTTTAATTTTCCTTATATTGTCATTTAACTACTTTATGATGCAAGATTTATTTAGTGACAGTGATGAGAACAACCCATAAGTGGTTTTCCAGTGGTTTGTCATGGACATTATTGAAGTGAGATGAGAGTCCAACTTCTTTTTTTGTCAAGTGCTTTACTTGCTTTACTGGTGTTTATTTTCCTACGATTAAAGGAAATAACCCAAATATCTTACAAGCCCCTGAAGAGATTTAATATAGAAAAAAAGGTCAGGGAAGTGTAGTCACCTGCTTTGCATTTTAAAAAATTTATGCACTCATCAGCTTTGCTTAGGCACGATAACTTCTTGTATCCGTGAAAGTGAATCTACTCTTAGTTCAGTCAGGGGCAAAAGTTTCCACCAAGTTTTATGGTAGAAGGTTACATCCTCCAACCCTTGTACTGTTTTTTCATTTTGATTTTAGAAAAGCAAGCGTTAAGTTTGGCCAGTCATTCCTACCATTTCCTCCTTAATTCGCTCAGTGATTTTATTAGTTGCTTCTTCATGTGCATGAAATAGACTGATGACACTGGTTTTATCTGGATCCAAGATATTTCCATCTTCATCTCTAACTATTAGGTCTAGCTCAAGTACTCTGTGAAAATACAAAAAGCATAATGGCAGGGTTATTTCCTTCTGTAAATATAAATCTTAGAAGTGTAACACACAAGGAGCTGCTACGAGTTTTAAAGCAAGAAAGTAAGTTTAAATACATGCAATAGTCGAAGAAAAAATTAACTAAAATGCCACAATTTTCTTTCCAAGCTCTTGTGCAGTATTTATCCATTTTAGGAATTTAAAGTAATGTCTCCAAAGTATTTAAATGCCTGTCACCATGATTCACCATGTTCCATGACTTCAGACAGCCTTCATCTCTTTTCCTTTCTGTTAACCTTTGTAATCAAGATGCGTAGGTTTTTCCTGTTACCTTCTGCTTTTATGTTGCTCTCTTACTCTCCGAGTTCTGTTACTTAACTACTAGGCTCTGTTCTCCTTTGCTCTCATACAAATCATGCCTTTTTTCCTTCCGCCCTTTTTTCCCCCCCTCAACATGCAAAACTCAAGTCTTACCTCCATATATTCTACATATTTTTGCCCACAGTGTCAAGGCGTCACCTCAGCAAAGAGATACCATTTCTTGCCTATCCAGGTTCTCACTCCTCCATCCCCCTCTAAAAATGGTCTCATTTGTGATGGACTGTACCTTTCACAATTTCTAAAATGTGCTAGCTGCCCTTATAGCACTGTTAGTGTTTGAAGTCTGTGTCAGACCAAGCCATCTTCAGCACCTTACATGATTATCCACAGCCTCTCCTGAACTGATGTTCAGTCTCCTTTCCCACAATGACCCACTCAGCCTCCATTGTCATTCCTCTTCATTCCTTCTCCACGGTTTGACAAGTGTCCTTGATGCATCACAACTCAACCCCACACGCTCTCCAACTCGCACTTGTTGTTATATACAATCCCAAACCATCTTAAACATCCCCTCCCATCCCACTTCTCTAAAGAATGAAGCTTACTGTCTCATAACTTGGAAAGAAGAGAGTGAAAACAGAAGTCTGATATCAAAGATATGTTAGTGTTGTCTTAATCCAAGATAGACTTCTTTGACTGGAGCATTTCAAAGTAAAATCTGTCTTGAAGTGACCATTCAACTCCACATAGTGTGGCAGGATACAACCCATGGTCACTGTTTTAAGTCTAGCCACAGGTAACTGAAGACTTTCAGCTGCATATAGGCCTTCAGGCCACAGAAACCACAGTCACTTACAATAGCTAAATACAGTTTATAAATAAATTCCAATGCCTATAAAGCCAGTACTATAAAGATTTGTCTACCAACTACCCCCTTTATCAGATGGTGGAACACCACTCGAGCCCACATAGCCTGATTTTTGCTAAAAACCTGTTATGTTGCAGTGGCTTTTCATTAGCCAGAAGCAGACGAGGCATTTTGTAAAATATCTGTTCTGTCCCTGGTAGTTTCACTTGCATTACCAGAACCAGAGTTCTGCCTGGAAATTCCCCAGTGAGTTGTGAGGGGGAGTGTAGGGTGGTGGTCTGGTGCTCCTAGCAAAGGCTCTGCACACTTCAGAGACTTTTCAGACTTCCACTATTCAACCACAACACTAAGGTCTCTCAGCACCACCTTTAAAGTGGTAGCATAACACTACTAGGAGTAGCCTGTGTTTGTGAAGGATGGACAAATTTTGTGTCTGGAGTACAGTGACATTACATGTGTATAAAGGCTAGTTACCTGACCTCAAATCTTTGCAAGTGACAAGCTCGTATCTCTGTAATTAACAAATAAATTAATATTTTCAAAAAGCAATTTCTATGAGAAACCCCAACATGGTATATACTATTATCACAGGAATAACAGGGACAAGTTTAAAAAGGAAGATTCAATGTGTCTACATCTCTCATTAATGAGGTACAGAACTGCAAACAGCAAAACATCATCATCTCTATTCTAGCTAGGTGCTTTAAAATAAATCACGTTTTCTGGAAGCAATGTAGGCCGCTTACTTGTTACCATAGTCAATTTTGGAAGTGACTTTCTGTTTCAGTTCTTTAAGCTCATCCTTTGGCAAAGTCCCGGACAGAAGCTGTGACCGCCACTCCATTAAGTCATACATCATAGTGCTCTTTCTTATTTGCCTACGATATAAAAGAAAACAATAGGTTTCAAGCTTCAATTTGAACTGAAATGTCAGTCTTGACAATTAAAAGATGTGTCATATTTAATGCTAAATGATTGCAGGAGCAAGAATTAGGCGAAGTATTAAGCCTGGCTTCCTTCCTCCTCTTGTCCCACAAATTGTTAAGGCCAGAATCTCCCATGTGACTGTAAAGAAATGATGTGAAATTTAAGCGGTTTGTATGGGGATAGGGAATTTCATTATTTTTGTTTTACTTCATTGGGCTATTCTAAAATTTGTAAACTAAGTCCCGTCAAGGGAAAATGTTATAGAAAACAACACTTCTGTATGAGATACTGATAAGAGTATGCTGGGAACAACAACATTTGATTGTGGTATTAATACATTTAAGAGAAAAGTGAGAGAATGCACAGAAGTCACTAAAGCAGTTCCAGTGCCATTCACGGAAAAAAGAATAGCTTTAATTGTTGACTTTAACATGAGGAAGACTAAGAAGTGACATGTTTCACAAAGTATATTAATGAAGATTTCTTTGGCCTAACAGAGAAAAAGCAAAATCCAATGGCTGGAATCCAGGAACAGTCAGTGCAAGTTGTTGAACAGGTTATCCATTAGAAGAGAATACTCAGGTACTAAAGAATTCACAGTCTTTTTATGTTTTTCCAGTCCACACTTTAACGTCAGCCTGACAGCCAAAAATCCATAAACAAGTCACTCGAATTAGTAGGGATTAATGTAAGGTTACAACACGCAAAATATCTATGATTATGCAAATGTAAAAATTAGCCTTCTGCCCTTCAGAATCAAAGTTTATTTCTCAGAATCTTGCAGTCCAAGTACAGGTATAATATTACAAGAAAGGTTTGGTTTCTGAATAAAGTATAGTTGAGGTCTGAAAAAATATTTCAGGCCCAATTGAAATAAAAAGATAATTTTAAAAAATCATTAATCACTTCTGCAGTTCTGTACTACACTATGGGCATTACAAGCGTATGCAAAAGACCACCATGACTACCAGTTGCTAATTACAAGGAACACAAATACTGATGCAGTGGCCGTTTTGACATAATCACTTCTGCAGTTCTGTACTACACCATGGGCATTACAAGCGTATGCAAAAGACCACCATGACTACCAGTTGCTAATTACAAGGAACACAGATACTGTGTTTTGACAAACACCTCTGAATTCACTGCACTTTTATGTATTGGTAAAAGAACTCACAGGAAAAATTGGTTTTCTCCATGATGGGAAAAAAAATCTTTAACAAATGTAAAATTAAGAGATTGAAAGTAAAAAGACTGACTTCTTGAAATTGCCAATTGTTAATAGCTACACCCTCCCAGTGAGCCTTGAACAACTTTTGTTTTAGCATCCCAAGAACATGGCGAATCTTCTTCAAATGCATCTTAGCTGTGTTTGATACTCCTATCTTGAAACTTGTGAACTCTACGAAGAACAGTTATGAAAAATTTATCCTGCACAAGATATTCAAGGTTGAAACCTAAAGGCACGAAGTTATACCACTCCTCAGCAGTAAGTCAACCTTTTAACTTTAAGCCATTGAAGAAAATGGTAATCAACTAAGCAGTGATAAAGAAATAATTTCTTAAATCTTCCCAGATCCTGCCCTGCACCTAAGACACTATTTTGAACAAGACCTCAATATGTATAAATAATTAATATGCCATACAGTATGCAAAAATATCATACCACATAGAGCTGTTTCCAGATGCTTCCCCATTCCCAAAGAGTAGTGGTAACTTCTTGAACTAAAGGAATTTCAGCAGGTATTATGTTTTCTGTATGTCTAGGGAAGAAAAGAAAATTTAGCACAATGAAAATGAAAAAGAATGTCTGAGTTTCATGGGTTTATATTAACATTACTGTGTTTAAGGCATGTAAATGCTTTAAAACATTCTTTAGCAGACAAGATCCTTAATGTAATAAAACAGTTAAATTCAATACCTTTTCTTTTCAACAGTAACTTCCTTGATGTAGATGAAAGATTTAGGAAATATTCCCTGTTGAAGGAGGAAAAAAAAATTCAATCCACACTTACTGTCCAAGAACATTTAAGTAACAAATGATACCTTTCCAAAACCCCCTTCTAAATGTTCTTCATAAAACGATGACTATGAACATAAACTACAGTCTCCAAATTAACTGCCGCCTATCTCGTTTTCTAGGTGCATTTCTGTTTTGACAGGTAAATATCACAAGTTTCGTCATATGCTTTTCTGCAATCATAGACTGCATAGAATTACATTTCTTTGTAAGAAACAGCAACACCCTGCGCCACCATCTAGTCTCCCATAAAACAGTACATACAGTGTAAATACAGTCAAGAAACATTTTCTCTGTGCATCAACCCAACGTTTCTTGTTCTAGGAAAAAAATGCAGTCCAATTTAGAGATCAGCTTGGTTATCAAACCGAAGGAGACATGCTGGCATAGGAACATTGCACCTAGTGAAAGAAATATTGATAGACAGAGGAAATCACTTGGGATGAATAACAAAATGGCCACTGATATGAAGGATAGTAAGCAAAGTTTACTTTGAAGTGTAAGAGCCAAGAACGCTGTGCATAAGACTAAAAATGCTTTAAGGAAAAAGAATGACCTTTGCAATGCACAAAGTAGAGAGAGGCTTAGTTACTAAAGCCATAAACTCTCAAACCTCTTAGGTGTACATTGCACCACTGCAACTGAGATTACGGTCTCGTTTTGTACTACCTAGGGCCATGCAGTAAGATGCCCAACAAGATGTAGCAAAGGAGACACCAAATTCCATTACATTCTCAACATTTGTTTTAAACTGTCCTGTGTAGAAAAAAAAAGGTCACCAGCAAACTGATCTAATGTGATGTGGCCTTGCTCTACACCACCTGAAGTGTTCGAAGTCATCCTAAAGGAAAGTTTGACCATCGATCTATCCATGACAATCCTCACATTAACTCGCAAATTAAGTCTTGGTAATTAAGCCATGTTCTTCTTGGATTCTCCCCTGTTGAATAACTGGTACTTCACAAAGTCTTTCTCTCAATTAGATTTCAGCTTTTACAGCCATTTTTTTTAAGCAGTGGATCTTAATTAAAACATAATAATGTCTTATCACTTCCACCATTTTTCATTAAGATTTAAGTTCAAGAGTCTGTGAAGAAGCAAAATAAAAAAGGTAAATAGTAAACATAGTAAAAACTTAGTATATGAATTTAATAATACATCTTAAACCACATTGTGCATGTTGACCTTGATGAAAACCTTTAGCAATATTAAGAATTAATTAAGAGGAGGTGGTTAGTTCTGGTAAATATTTTCCCTTTTAGTTTTAAACTAAATTTTAATAAATTAAAATTAAATTTGTAATTAGAATAAACAGCAATAATATTTTGAGACTAAATAAATGTCAAATGAGTATATAAAACACAGTGATAGTACTGGACAGGATGGGAGGATGGTCAGCCATTCTCTCAGATCCACCCTCAATTATTGCAGACCTAACAGCTGACAGGAACTACTTTGGGTAGCTTCCACTGAAATACTGTGTTGTATCAAGAACTTAGGGTGAACTACCTTATCACTGGCCTGGCTTCCACCTCACCTGTGTTGAGCACAAAATGGAAGCAAGCTAATAAAGCGCACTATGCAGTTGTATTGGGGCTCATAGAACATGAGAACAACAGGTAGAAGTCTGGAGAAAATGACTATGCGTCATTATCACAAATAATTATTCATTCCTCTGACTTTTAGGATGCGCAGTCATTGAGCAATGAAGTGAAATGGTAAAATCAAGCATCTAGTACTTCCAAAAGGAAACGAATATTTTACTATCACACACAGATTTTTTGCTCTCAGTTAATGCATGTTTATTGTTAATACCTACAAGGCATTGAATACAAAATAAGAAAAAGAGGAAATAGTCAACTTAAGACTGTTCTGATTTTTTTTCTGCTGGCATATTCTCTGCCTGCAACTGTCCCTCTGCTCCCCAGATATCCCTTTCTAAGTGACCGTGAAAGTTTTATACATCCTTTTTCCAGGCTACAGAGAAGCAACTTCCAGCAGACATTTTTACTGTAATATAGCCATGAATCTCTAACTTCAAATGCCTTTGCATTGCTGCTCCCTAAAAAATCTGATACTCAGAGCAAGTTTCAAAACATGCTTTTATTCTACAAAAGTGCATTTGAAACTAAAATCTCATTTTGTTGCTACCTAACTCAGGAGTCATCATACCCAGCGTAAAAAGTATTCATTTTTGGCTTTCCATCTTTAGGTATAAGAATACTGACTTTTTTGGTATTATGAATATGATTTTTGAACATCAGAGATACAAGAATTTAAGCCTGATGGGAGTTGTTTAGATTAAATGTTGCCTAAAAAATCTTTAGCGAAAAAAGTGCAGAAACAGACACGTGGCAGTAAATGAACTCAAAAAGCTATTTTAAATGATGTCTTCATCAGTCTGTTAACCTGAAGGCACAGTAATTTTTTCTTCATTAATTTGCTTCTCCCAGTCCTCACTAGTATTTACCAACAATGTCCAGGAGAAATAATGATAATTTTATTAATCTTGAAGTGAAAGAGAATGGAGATAGCTGACTTCAGAGATCAGAATAGGACTATCTGATAAGAGATACTAAAAAAAAACACTTCATGGGTTGATTTCTTAAAAATAGTCTCATAGGAAGGAACAGCATGATCTTACCTCTGATCCTTTATGTCTGACCAGATAGCCCTTGTACCAATCTAAAAGGAAGAAAGAGTGCACTTAGTACAACAGAATATATGCATAAAAAAAGAATATAATAGTCAAGGGTTTAGTTTCAAATAAGAACTCTCTAGCATAAGTTGTTTAAAAATCAGTAGTTACTTTAAAAAAAACTATAGATGACAGTAAAGTGAGTATCAGAAGCCTATTTAGTGTGACTTGCACATTAGTAAGTATGATTATATGGTCTAGTTTCACCTCTTGCAAAGTAAGTACATTTAGCCTTACACAGAATTTGACACCCCCACACTCACATAAAGAAAAGGTAGAATAAGCTGGTGTGTAATGCAGTAAATAACACATACACACGTATCTCTCTCTCCCACGCGAGATCTCTCATGACACTGGATAGCCCAGGAAGCTCCTCCAATTGTGTTCTAGGTGTAGTATTAATCCAATACCGTACACGGTTGTTGTTATAAAACAACTTCCTTGAACATAGGAAGAGTAAGCCATCTTTCTGCCATGAGGAATTATAGCTTTTGGACCCAACTCATGTAAGCAGCTTCCTCGTGTTCAAATTATAACCTCAAGAAAGCAAAGGGCTATTATGGAGCTCCTGTTCCATCCACAACTAGAAACCCCTTCTGAAACACGAAAGAGTGCAGTGTTGCAGTAGTGGCAATTAAAACACTAATTCAGACTTTGTTCCCTCTTTGCCCCCGTGAAGTCACAATGAACGTCTACAGAGAACACAGATGGAAGAGCTCAATCAGCACAGTAAATGACAGCAGAAGCCGTGTCCGCTGCGCACACATTCCATCGTGAAACACTACCTGCGCAACAACAGCGTCCAACTCCATTTCACCCGAAGAAAGCATTTCATGACTGAAAGTGTACATTTCCTGACTACAATTTCATGAACATCTCTTCCCTACCACCTTTTCTCTCTCAGTATTTCTAACACAGCACAGGCTTTTCAGCCACAAAACCAAAGCATTAAAAAAAAAAAAAAATATCCCAAACCCCAGCAGTACTGTGAGAAAGGCTATGTGAATAGTCACAGGAGAATCGCTGACCTCAAATAAAGACTCAGGACAGGTTTTTTTCTTTTTTTCAGGTTTTCAACACTGACTTTTTTTTTCCCCCAGTATTTTCTCAAAAACAGACTTCCAACTTACTCTACAACTGAATTATTTGCACATAGTCTCGAATTTACAACCAAGTGTGTAAGATCTAGTTCATCCCATATATTGTGACTGCACATACATGTTCTGTGCATATATTTTGGGCATGCAAAGCGAACTAAAATAACACGTAAAATAAGCACAGGAAAAACCCTGTTACTGTTGGTTACCCTTCAGCTGCAGCTGACAGCATGCTTTTAAGATATCTGGTAGATGAACTTCCTCACTCGCTCAGTACAAAGGATTCCACTTCACTGACAAACATATTACGTAAAGCAAGATATGACATAGCTTGTTAAGGGCTGAGGATTCAGAAAAGGCTTTTAGATAAAAAAATAATCCCATAAAATCGCTGCTCAATTTACTAGACGGGGTGACAACAAATGTACCGCTGGAGTCAGAAACTTGAAATGCTGTTTCTGCAGTTAACAGAGGCAGAAATATAGGGATGAGGAGGTTTCTGGTTTCCCAGTTTATTTTTTCTTAACCAAAATGTTTAGAATGGACACTTAAAGAATTATGCAGACCTTTCATTTTTTTAGGAGAGGACACGATTCATTATTCATAACTGAGACATCCACCTGTTGACTAATAGATTAATGAGTGATGTCAGTATTTCACTGAAGCTCAGAGATATTTGATTTCTCTTACAAGTAGAAGAAGAAAAAAATATGCTCTGTGCTCCAAAACACAGGGGGTGTTCTCAGATACTCTTCCCAAATACAACAGTGTTTCCATGCAAAACAGCCTAGAGCTCTGTGCTGTGGAATGGGCTGGTCTCAAACAGCGTCAGGTTCTTCGCAGCCTTATGACCACAATATACGCAGCGTCTTTCAAACCCTGAGCAGTCTCTAAGTGCAGAAATCAGCAGTTGGCCTTTCTCTGTAACCTAACTACTGTTAATAAGATACAGCTGACAGACAGGGGAGATAGTTTGAAGAAGAGAACTTTGTGATACATTTTGCAAAGCACTGTATGATTTCTTTTAAACTCTTACCTGGTCAAGAACATCACTGCAGATTGGAACCAAATTATTATAACAATGACATTTGCAGAAACTTAACCAGTGCCTAAATAATAATAATAATTGCACCCTTGTTGCTTTATACTAATAAAAATTTAAGCAACTCTGGAAGACTTGGGAGAAAATTGGGTCAGATTGTGAAGGTACAGATCAAATTAATATGGAGGAATACACTATCACAATAGGATCAACAATTAATTTAGCTACACAAATATACAAATTTTAGGTTCATTTATTCTTCTGCTGCTTTTATTTATTTTCCACTTATGCCAGTTGGTCAGATATCTCCCCATACTGACTACAAAAGTTTGGATCAGCATACTGACTGTCTATCATGCGTGACTTGACTTGGACTTCTGCTGTTTAACATGTTCAGTAAGTGGGATGGTTTTCAGAAGTGGGCCGATCATCTGACCTGCAGACTACTTTAAATTTCCATCCTATACTATAGGATGATTAGGTAGCTGAATAGCTCCTAGCAACAAATATTAAATTTAGAGGTAAAAATGTACTCCATTAAAACTTCAGTCAAATCTAATGTAACCTCCATCAGGTATATTGCAAGCTGGAATGTACTTCACAAACTCTACATTCATCTTGATTACTTCCTCATTTGGTAATGGCTTCCCAAAAAAAACCACATATACCTTAACATGTCTGATTTTGGCTCTCCAAAAAATGAATAGGTTCTTCCTCAAAATAGAACATCACCACCAATACAACTAAGAGCATTAGGCAACTGCTTATGTAACACAGGGAATTGCTGTGAAGTGAAAGGATTGTTATTCCCACGGAGAAATGAAGAGCTTGAAGGTAACTGACTTACCTTCGCAGGACTCCAAGATATGGACCACATCACCGATCTGTAGAGGTAGCTGTGGTATTCCTGTGCCCTTGAAATTGTATATAGCTGGAAAATTCAAGGAATATACAAAAATACTGTTTTTTCAATACAGCCATACGCTACAGTTAAACTGAAAAACACACACAGTTATTAAGATTCTCTGATACCAGGATAAGTGCACTAGAAGAAACAAGCATAAAAACCATAATTATATCAAGAAACTTCATCTGTTACCATTATTTGATCTTTTTTCTTGCCAAAATATGCAGGTGCTGAAAACGGATGGTGCTGAAAACAAAACCCACCAGGATATGCATGAAAGCAAGCTATTCCTAACGACTGCGCTGCACGGGGTTTAAGGCCACTTATTTAGATGCAAGTCTGCAACATATACACGTTCATGTACTGGAGAACCGTGAGTCTACTGGTCTAAGAATTCAACTGCAGCGTTTACAGAAATGTATGGCATCACTGGTGAGAACGGGCACAGAGATGCATGTGAAAACTGAACTTACTGAACGCTTCCCTGGGTTTAGATGATTCATCTTAACGTGAAACTGTGTTTTATATGGAAACAGTAGAAAGTTTTATAATTTTCTGTATTTCATCACTCTGCAAAGAACACAGGAGCAGCGAATTTTAAAAGCGTTCTAATCAGAACCTTATCTCTATGTGGTTAAAGAACAGCTAAGTTTCAGAGAGTTGAAGAAAATAAGATTCTTGACTAGTTCTTACATTCTAGGGCTACAGGATGTGGGCTGCTAGGGTAAGCGTTTGTTTCTGTATGTTTTTTCTTTATGGGCTTGGTTATAGAGTTTTACAATAGCATGACAGAGTTGAGTGGTTGTTGAAGCTAGTATCAAACAGGGAAACTGATTAAAATATTTAAGCTCCAAACCACAGTGAAACTGCATAAGTAGGAACAGTACACTCGCTACTAACCATGATGTGTGTGGTGCAGTAATGATATCAGTTGGCAGAGTTTTCTTCCTTTTTCATGACAGCGTCCCAGTCCATCCACATAGCCAGAGCATCCAAACACAGTATTTTGCACTAGGAGAGAGCTGATCTAGAAAGCTGAACCTACCTTCAGTATACTCCTGCATTCCTTTATGCTCCCCCTCTACAGGCTTCTAAAGCAGGATATTCACTTCTGCTAGGCCAAAATGTATAGTAATGACACATTTTACTTAAACATTGTACTTAAAATTATGTTTAAAGTCTCAAATTAAATTGCCTTTCAAGAAAATGCCTAAGGAATGAGTGTAGAGCTACCTCTTCACTTTTTCAAATGTTCCATAAATTATGTTTCTTGTTTCTTTTGTGGTCATTATATTAATTACATTTCTGGAACAGAAACTAGAAGGAATTTCAGGTTTACTTAAGAGGCTTATTGGACCAAAAATAAGTTCTTGTTGACATGAAGTGGCCTTCCCACCAGTTCCTCCTCCTGGCTGAGTAGCGCAGCTTGAATCATTAAACACGTGGTGGGAGAAAACAAGAAAAAACCCAAACATCTTGAAGGAGGCTCTGCTGTCCAGATTCAGCCAGTTAGTCAAGAGAATCTTGAAGAGGCTTCCTCAGTGATCTCAGAGAACTGCCTTAGCTCAACAAAAATATTGAATTTAAGGAGTCGATATGTGTAGCAGATGTGTAGTTATGTTCTGAGTGGCTTCCTTTCAGGAGTCTTGACACAGATTTCAAGAAATGGAAGGTGGCAAATGGGCAAATGACCCTCCTAATAGGGGGTGGGGTGGGGGGTGTGCCATTTAAAGAAAGGTTTCCACTGGAGTGTTTAGGGTGGTGGGCTCTTATTGTTTTCATTAAATGTCCATACAGGTTAAGATTACTCGACTAGCATTTACTTGATATTTCAAAATAGGCGCTGCTCTATTTACTTATTTGTTTCAAAATGTAGATGCAAATTACTGAGTCATATGTTCACATTGCACACTGGGTTTGCTGTCTTAAAAACTTCATTACAATGATGAATATATTGTAAAATGCAGTAACAAACTGACAAAGGAAGTGGCTATATCAGCTAAGAATCTTCTAAATGAGTAAGTGGAAACAGTGAGAGAGATTTTACTGTAGAATTTGGATTGTTTGGTAAGATGACTTTAACAAATTCCTTTACCAAGTTTTAAGCTGTAGACCTATCCAGACATTTTATGATAAGAAATTAGTTCCATATGTACCATTGATTGTTTATAGAGTTTTTTGCAAACAACTTAATTCCATCAGCCTCACCCAGATGTATTACCTACAGCACCAGACCGCCCAGCTATCACATCTGCTAATTTTTTAATGATTAACTGTGAATGAAAATTCGACTGTTATATTCAATTATATCTTCTGTCAGCTGTAACCGGTACAAATGATACAATTTCCCTTATAAACTGTGACCCTCTTATATTGCAAGTATCACCTCAGAGTTCACCAGCCAAGAGGAGGGTTCAGTGTCCTCCACCCTCTGTGGAGACCTTCAGGGTTGTGAAAGTGCGGTTTGGTGTGCACAAACACACATTTCATTTATTTTGCTCTTGACTTTTTTTTTTTTTTTTTTTTTTTTTTTTTAAATAAACTCCTTGGCCAGTAGAAATAAAGGTCCCTTCAAACCACTCTGAAGAACTTTCTACCACTCCAGTCCCTGGCATCCTCTATGCCAGCCATAAATACAAAAGGAGACAGTATGCTCAGGGCACAGAAGGTGGCCTGCTTGAAGACCCCAGCATTCCTTCTAAATCCCAACAGCAATTACTGACCTTAAGAGCGACTGATGTCATGGCAATAAGCTTAGTGGGACAGATTTGGACAGCATATGCCCTCCCCAGCAGCCAGCATCAGGCTAAGGTGTTCCCACCCATAGTGTACCTCTACACAGAGGCTGTCAGATTATCCCAGAATGGCACAGAGAATGCCCAGGAACTCCAGCCTTAAGACAGTGTTCCTAAATATGCACTTTACAGTTCACTAAGCAGTTAGCAAATTCCACACACACACCTCTCCCTGGATCAGCAAAGAATAAAGAGCTCACCATAGTCTCAGTGGTAATTTTATAGCAGGACATGTAGAAAACAAACCAACCAATGCAAAACACCCTGAGATTCCAGGTGGTTTCGCTCCTCCCAGAGATGAGCTGAAAGCCAGCCCACCACAACACCAGTATGGCTTCCGAAAGCAAACCTGAGAAACAGCCGGTCAAACTGCGAACGTAAAAGATTTGCCAAACTGAACTCTTCTCAAGCACAAGTGGGCTTCGAGTTGGACCTCGGGAAGACGCAAGTGATCCCCATCACTCCCCATAAAGCATGACCAAAGAATCCTTTCTCGTTGAGCCAAATAATACCTGCTGTTAAGACAGTTACTGTAAGAAACTTCCACGTCTAATTCTGCTGTCACTCTCACACCTTCCGCCACCCGGAGCATAAGTGATCTACCCGTGTCCATCCCAGTAGTGAAAAATGAGTGTGAGGGCTGAAAACAATTCTTATGTTTCCATTTAATTCCTATGTATCTTATTAAAGCCGGAGCTGTTGGCTATGCTACGCACATTCCCCCCACTAGTCACAGACGTGTGCCTGCTGTTGAACGTATGCATGGCTACGAAGCCTGCTTCATTACACCACATAGGTATGTGCGTGTTTTCTGAAGCAGAGTAATGAAGATCCATGGAGGACATTTCTCTGGACTATCCAAGACACAAGGTACATGAAACAGTCACTCTTTGTTCAGAGTAGGATGCCTGTTAAAATATAAATTCAAACAACCACAGATTGAGACAGAAGGACAGTTAACATTTAATAATTTTAATTATATATCCTCCAATTTAGAAGATGACAAGCAGAAAAAAATAGTAAAAAATACCACAATTTGTCCCTTGTCTGAGAACACCCACACACAAAACACTCTAGAAAACACACAGGTAACAGAAGCCCTTCCTCAAAATCTAGATTTCCTCAGTCTTCACGTACTTTAAACCCCCACATTCTTGCTGTTCACGTGATCAGCCTGTAAGCTAGTGCAAGATGGGAACGGTGAGCAAGGCAAACCCCACAGACCTGCAGCACTGAAGCCCTTGATTATCCTCATCGCCCTGTTTCCTGCCTGTTTTCCTTCACGGCAAGCCCCTGCCCTGTTCTTTCTAACGAACACAAGCATTATGCTGGTTCATTCTGGAGACTCACCTTGCAGTAATAAGCCAAGTTTCAAGTTGGTTTCCTTGGCTACTTTCCACCCTTCTGCTTCAACAGGATTGGAGAAGAAATTCCCAGATGTACCTTAGCTGAACCAGCTCTTATTTTCATTTTAACTTAACAGGAGGACTATCTGGAATGATTTCGATGTTATAACTCACGCAGTGTTTTGCATATTCACGCGATTTGTAATGAACAGCCTCAGCAAGCATCCTGTGCCATTTTATTTTTTAAATATTACAGCTCCACTCTGATGAGCAGTCATGTAGCAGTAGTGCCGTCTTTCCCATCAGTGCGTTATGTTCAGTTACCATGTTCTGCTCACAAAATGGTGATGTGACTCAGGATCTGTCTGTCTGTCAGACACCAGCAAACCTGAATTCTGGAAAGAAAGCTGTAAAATGTGTGTTCCTGTACTCGGAGTTAGGGATCTCCCCCTAAATCTCACGAAGCAAGCGTGCCGTCATCAACGTGACACGGGTGCAGTTCTACGGAACATTTCACAGGTCAGAGACATGCACCAGAGCTCAGGGTGGGTCAGGGGCTAATTGAATTTATTGCAAATCGTGCTCAAACGGTAACTCTCCAGTCCTCAGGTAACAACTGAAGACAGGTTTCTTCACATGCTTAACCTTGGGGCCAGATGGAGGTTTTAGCTGACTTGAGCTACTTATTTTCCCTCTTACACAGACAAGAGCCAGTACAAGAACCAGGAAGTTCGAACGTAACCAATAGTTGAATGAAGTTATTGTTTCTGATTCTTTACCTTTCCACAGAAAATAGCAGCATGGTCATTTCTCCTTTTCTTGAGAGATTGTGGATAGAGACATTCCTTTCCCAGCTCTGTCTTCATCTTACTTCAGTTTGCTC